CCATTTCTTACAAGTCTAGCTGGGAGAGAGATCTGGGATTCCCCATTGAACCGGAGGATTGGACTAAAGCCTGGTCTTTTATCTCTTGTTGTTTATTCAACACGACCACAATGGAAGCTGCATATAAAGTTCTTTTGAGGTGGTATTGGGTCCCTGCCTGCATTGCAAGTTCAAACCCCAAGTATGATGATCGATGCTTCAGAGGCTGTGGCCAATGGGGCGACGTGGTTCATACCTGGTGGTTGTGTCCACGCCTCACGGGGTTCTGGTCAGGGTTTTTGGCCTCGTATACTCCATATTCCACATCCCTGTCCCCAAAGAAGCTAAACTGGCCCTGTTACATTGCCCGATTAGGGGCTTATTTTCTCACCAACAAAAATTAGCCATCTACCTGTTTATAGCTGCTAAACTTGTCATCGCCAAGGCGTTGAAGAAACCATCACTGTCCTTTCACATGGTGAAAACGAACCTGACAACCTTGATGTTGCATGGAAAGATGTCCAGCATCCTACACGATTCTCATGCAAATGTTTTGAAAGTATGGAGTCCCTGGTGGACCTACGCCTTTCCCACCCTATCCCCATTTGGTTTGGGTATTTCCTGAGTTTTGACTTCAGCCCAGGCCTGCAGGAACTTCCACCATCCCTCTCCACTTGTCTTCTTCTTCCGGTCCTCTTCTTTCTGCCTTTACCTTTTCTGTCTTTCCCTATCTAGCTTTTCTTTCAATCAAATTAAAAACATTATTTCTGTAGTTTTCCACACTTATTTTTTGAGCCCCCAGGACTAGATTCTGGGTCATTAAAGCTGTCCTAAGACTGCACTGTAAATAATTTTATTGTAACCGAAGTTGTTATAGCCAATCGCCTGGTTTGTCATCTGTTTTTTTGCCTTATACCCATGTGCGGGCGACCAGTTGTATTGATATGTTATATGTTTTAATTACAATATTGAACCACAAACAAGTGCGTAGAAGAGAGAATTTGTCCTGCAACTGTTGTAAGGACTTCACAGAGAAGATATTTGGGCTGTTACACTGTTATGGTGCACTCTGCTAGAATGGCGCTGTACTGCAGCCAGGGGCGGACTGACCATTTGGAAACTCGGGCACTGCCCAAGGGCCCAGGATCAGTAGGGGGCCCCATGAGATGCTCCTGGTATCTTTTTCATAGGCTTTTTTAAGTTTGGGCAAGGACACAGGAGCCCCATGATCCCCTATTGCCCGGGGGCCCCATGAGTTGTCAGTCCGCCCCTGACTGCAGCCATCCACAGGCAACCCTCACCAGGCCCATGCCCATGCCCTCATGCTGACTCAATGGGACCTGAGCCCGGTACAGTAATATTGCCTGTACGTTCCTATTGGCAGCCCCGATCAGAGTAATGGTCTATCTAGCAGTACTTGATACTTTTCTATGTTCTAATAAATGTCATACATACAGAAACATATGGGGATTATATTGCATTTGTGTGCACTAAAATTATATGAATTAATTTTTTCTGAAAGTATTTTTTTTTTAAGACTTGATAGTCAGCTGTGCGAAGATCTTGCAACCAAAATCTGCTTTTATAAAATATATAACTAAATAACATGAATCAATGTGGTTGATTTAATAAATGCAGATAGACTGTGCGTTTTGCACGCTCCAGAGCTTGGCAAATGAGGAAATGCTTCACTTTGCAGAAAATACCCAATCATATGCAAGGAAAATAAAAGAAACAGCATTTTTGCTTGCATATGATTGGATGATGGAAACCAGCAGAACTTCTGTTCATTGCTAATCTCTGGAGCTGCTGTGCCTGCAGAGTGCCTGGTCTGTTTGCCTTTATTAAATCAACCCCTATGTGTCCTGATGTTGTCACTAGGATGTGCAAGCTGTTGGCGGGATCACTAGGTCATTGTAAATGATATGGACAGAACAAAAAGAAATGATGCTTATTATTGATAAACGGAAACATCTGCAACCTTTTTTTTTTTTCTTTGGGGGGGGTTGTTTTGTTTTTTTAGGGGTATACGTACATTTTTAGGTCGTAACCAAACTTACTAATATTTTATTGCTGATTTTTAAAATATATACATTCACAAACACACACCCACACACACTGTTTCGTAATGTTCTTCAGATATGTGTTCTTGGTTCACATGCAATTTATTGGTGGAGTAGTACCCTGTTTTCACCAGCACAGTTGTCACTGATGCTGCACATTTGACATCCAGCCAGGACTCTATCCACACAGAGAGGGATAGCGATGTGCTCAGTCACTCTGAACCTGCCAAACTTCCTTTACAAATACATAGTCACGATTGGGAGTACGTCACTGGCTAACATCACTCTGATAATCAAGACTGGAGAACGTCATGATGGTTGGATATTGGGAACAGCGTTGCCATTAGAAGTGGTGGGGGCCTTTTATGGAAGTTGGCTGCAAGGCGAGGTCACTGCTGAGCACATGCTACCAGACTCACATGGGCCTACTTGTTTTAAAGGCCACTGCACCCAGAACTGATGCTTTAATTATGGTGGAGTTAGGAGGCTCCAACCATGCACTGACGTACCTCTTCTTTAGAACTTCAAAAGTGAGATCTTCCCATTAAAATGTCTGGCTCAAGCCCACCTTAGCTCCTGTCCTGTTAGCTTCTGTGTAAGGATGCACCAATACCCTTTCTGTTTGCGGCAAATACGAGTACCGATACTTTCAGTCAAGTACTTGCCGATACAGAATACCGATACAAAATGTATGAATGCAAATCGCACCACAAAGAATAGTATGCGATTTGAACAGGAATGCGGTGCAATTCCTGACCAAATCGCCTGCGGTCTCCCCTCTGCTCCTGTGTGAACCCAGGCTTGTCACAAGGAAAAGCTGCTTCACAGGTCTGGAGGTTTGAAATCCCCATGGCTTTCTCTTTTCTCCTTGCCGGGATAACAGTACAGGCTATACGGCTTCAGATTGGTCAGCACCGTGAGGGTGCTGACCAGTCAGAAGCCATTTAGTCCATATTGTCATCACTGCAAGGAGAGGAGAGAAAGCCGACTTGTGAAGTGACTTGTGTGACAGCATGGGATTGGTATAGGGAGGTTTCCCCCGCACCACTCCTGTGTGAACTCAGGCTATGACATGCTGGGTTCACACAGGAGCAGTGGGGAAACCTCGTGATTTGGACAGAAATCATACTGCATTCCTGTTCAAATCGCATACTATTCTTTGCCATAAGATTTGTGTCCATAAATTTGTATGGACTCAAATCGCACCGTTGTATTGGTTTAGTGTATCGGGAGCATTTGCACATTACTTGCCTTGGCAAATATGGGTGCATTGATTATTTATTTTTGTGTGTGTTTTAAAGGCTAAGGTGGACTTAGCCTTTAAAACACACAAAGTGCTCTGTGTTTCACAATCTCTGTATGACTTGAGCAACTCTTACTTTTCTTTAGGCTACATGAATGTATTGCAATGATGTCATCGGTCTTTAAGGAATGGGTGGGTTTCATTCTCAGTGATGTCACTGGTCTCTAGCACATGGATCGGCTCTATTCTCAGTGAAGTCACCGCTCTCTAGTGAATGGATAGCCTGCATTCTCAGTGATATCACCTCTCTAGTGAATGGATAGCCTGCATTCCCAGTGATGTCACTGGTCTCTAGTGAATGGATAGCCTGCATTCCCAGTGATGTCACTGGTCTCTAGTGAATGGATAGCCTGCATTCCCAGTGATGTCACCGCTCTCTAGTGAATGGATAGCCTGCATTCTCAGTGATGTCACCGCTCTCTAGTGAATGGATAGCCTGCATTCCCAGTGATGTCACTGGTCTCTAGTACATGGAATGTCTCTATTCTCAGTGATGTCACTGGTCTCTAGCACATGGATCGGCTCTATTCTCAGTGAAGTCACCGCTCTCTAGTGAATAGCCTGCATTCTCAGTGAAGTCACCGCTCTCTAGTGAATGGATGGCCTGCATTCTCAGTGAAGTCACCGCTCTCTAGTGAATGGATAGCCTGCATTCTCAGTGAAGTCACCGCTCTCTAGTGAATGGATAGCCTGCATTTTCAGTTATGTCACTGGTCTCTAGCACATGGATCAGGTCTATTCTCAGTGATGTCACTGCTCTCTAGTGAATGGATAGCCTGCATTCTCAGTGATGCCACTGGTCTCTAGTAAATGGAACGTCTCTATTCTCAGTGATGTCACTGGTCTCTAGTGAATGGATCAGCTGCCTTCTCAGTGATGTCACTGGTCTCTAGCGAATGGATCAGCTGCCTTCTTAGTAATGTCACTGGTCTCTAGCGAATGGATAGCCTGAATTCTCAGTGATGTCACTGGTCTCTAGTGAATGGATCGGCTTCCCTCTCAGTGATGTCACTGGTCTCTAGAAAATGGATAGGCTGCATTCTCAGTGATGTCACTGGTCTCTCGTGAATGGGTAGGCTGCATTCTCAGTGAGGTCACTGGTATCTAGTAGATGGATAGGCTGCATTCTCAGTGATGTTACTGGTCTCTAGTGGATGGATAGGCTGCATTCTCAGTGAGGTCACTGGTATCTAGTAGATGGATAGGCTGCATTCTCAGTGAGGTCACTGGTATCTAGTGGATGGATAGGCTGCATTCTCAGTGATGTCACTGGTCTCTAGTGAATGGATAGGCTGCATTCTCAGTGAGGTCACTGGTATCTAGTGGATAGATAGGCTGCATTCTCAGTGATGTCATTGGTCTCTACAGAACGGATAGGCCCAGTGATGTCACTAGTCTTCAGTGAACCAGATACACTGTATTGTCAGTAATGTCACCGCTATCCAATAAATAATAGGCTGCATTATCTGTGATGTCACCAGTCCCTAGTGAACAGGTAGGCTGGGTTCTCTTGAATATGAAACATCTCAGTAGCATGGGTGATCTCTAGTGATGAAAACCACATACAGTACTTAATATAACTTGCTTTGTATTTTTTTTGTGTTGTTTCTCCTGGCAGCCAATAATGTGTTTTTGTATTCTTTTAATACCAGATCAAAGCTGTGGAACCAAAGAGCAAGAACTGTGTCACCATGGCTGGCACAGGAAAAGCCGGTAACGCCATCGGTCCCAGTTTTGTGCAGACATCCTTTAATGAGCCGGGCGGTCTCTGTGTTGGTGGTGACGCCAATTTGTTGTATGTTGCGGACACCAATAATCATCAAATAAAGGTTCTGGATCTGGAAACCAAAACGGTTCGTGTGGTAAGTAAGATTTTGATTTTTAAGATGCCATAAATGGTGGAGAGCAGTCAGGCAGAACCAACTGGGCCAAGTTTTGGGGTGAACGCTGTCCACTCGTCTTTTCCTGGTATCTTTCTTACAGGAAATGCCAGTAGTTGGCACAGATCTCTTATGATGCCTATGCATAGGAGACCAAAAGTTCTGGGAAGACTTTCCACAAGCATTTGGAAGGTGTCTGTGGAAATTTGTGCCCATTTGTGAGGTCAGGTGGTGATGTTGGATGAGAAGACCTGGCTTACAATCCACATTCCAATTTCTCCCAAAGGTGTTCAGTAGAGTTGAGGTCAGGGCTTTGTGCAGGACACTCCAGTTCCTCCACACTAAACTGGTCAAACCATGTCTTTATGGAGCTGGTTTTGTATACAGGGGGCACAGTCCATCTGAAACAGAAAAGCACCTTCGGCAAACTGTTTCCACAAAGTAGCAAGAGCAAAATTATCTAAAATGTCTTTGTATGTTGTAGCATTAACAGTACCCTTCACTGGAAACACCTGAACTCAATCACATGGAGGGGTGTCCCTATACTTTTAGTCATAGAGAGCATCCCTGCCGAGAGAGTTGCCCTCCAGGGGTTGAATGAAATTGCTGCAACTATTCTAAACCCCCATGTAGGACGGCACTAACATCCAGTGTTGCTAAATTGCTTTTCGCTCTGCTGTGATTGATATGTAGCTTTAGTACCAACAATGGTGGCTGCATTATTATTGGTTACCGTATTTTTCGCTCCATAAAACGCACTTTTTTTTCCCCCCAAAAAAGGGGGGAAAATGTCAGTGCGTCTTATGGAGCAAATATGGAGCGGCCGGCCTGGTATTTCCACCGCCGCCGTGTCAGAATACCGGGCCGGCCGCTCAGCTCTGCAGCGGGACCTTATGGAGATGACTGCTGACCTTTGGGGAGGTGGGGAGCGGGTACCTGAATTTGACAGGTACCCGCTCTTACTTCCGCGGAGTTGTTCTTTGACCTTACCTGTTCCTCTATCCAGCGGCACGCTCCCCAGCTCCCCAAAGGTCAGCAGTCATCTCCTGTACTGTCCGCATTCTCTGGTCATCCCTGTGCTGTCCGCATTCTCTGGTCATCCCTGTGCTGTCCGCATTCTCTGGTCATCCCTGTGCTGTCCTCATTCTCTGGTCATCCCTGTGCTGTCCGCATTCTCTGGTCATCCCTGTGCTGTCCGCATTCTCTGGTCATCCCTGTGCTGTCCTCATTCTCTGGTCATCCCTGTGCTGTCCTCATTCTCTGGTCATCCCTGTGCTGTCCGCATTCTCTGGTCATCCCTGTGCTGTCCGCATTCTCTGGTCATCCCTGTGCTGTCCGCATTCTCTGGTCATCCCTGTGCTGTCCGCATTCTCTGGTCATCCCTGTGCTGTCCGCATTCTCTGGTCATCCCTGTGCTGTCCGCACCCTGTCTCTCTGGTCATCCCTGTGCTGTCCGCATTCTCTGGTCATCCCTGTGTGCTGTCCGCATTCTCTGGTCATCCCTGTGCTGTCCGCATTCTCTGGTCATCCCTGTGCTGTCCGCATTCTCTGGTCATCCCTGTGCTGTCCGCAGTCTCTGGTCATCCCTGTGCTGTCCGCAGTCTCTGGTCATCCCTGTGCTGTCCGCAGTCTCTGGTCATCCCTGTGCTGTCCGCAGTCTCTGGTCATCCCTGTGCTGTCCGCAGTCTCTGGTCTGGTCATCCCTGTGCTGTCCGCAGTCTCTGGTCATCCCTGTGCTGTCCGCAGTCTCTGGTCATCCCTGTGCTGTCCGCAGTCTCTGGTCATCCCTGTGCTGTCCGCAGTCTCTGGTCATCCCTGTGCTGTCCGCAGTCTCTGGTCATGTCCTGTGCTGTCCGCAGTCTCTGGTCATCCCTGTGCTGTCCGCAGTCTCTGGTCATCCCTGTGCTGTCCGCAGTCAGTCTCTGGTCATCCCTGTGCTGTCCGCAGTCTCTGGTCATCTGGTCATCTCTGGTCCTGTGCTGTCCGCAGTCTCTGGTCATCCTGTGCCTGCAGCTGTCCGCAGTCTCTGGTCATCCCTGTGCTGTCCGCAGTCTCTCGTCATCTCCTGTACTATGTCTGCAGTCCATTAGTTCAGATTTTTTTTTTCCTGTTTTCTGCCTCTAAAACCTAGGTGCGTCTTATGGTCAGGTGCGTCTTATGGAGCGAAAAATACGGTATATTAACTATGCACATGTGTGGCTCATTTGATCCAGATCCCCAAAATAAATTAAACCCCCTCCAGGTAATTTCTATATTCTGCAAAGTTTTTAGTAAACTTCAATGCATAGCCTTACTTGCTTGAGTTCTGGAGATTTGCCAACTCAGTGCACTTGATGAAATCTTTCCAAATAAGTGTTAAATGGGAGCTTATTGTAATTATATCAATAAATACCAGAGTTGTAATATGAAATATTACACCCCTCTAGGCGCAGGCTGTACGCCATGTTCCTCTTCCTCCCCCGCAGCTCCCTGGCCCCAATTACCATCAGTTGGGAGTTTCTCTGTATGACAGGAGCAGTAAATTGACATTTACAGAACTGTGTCTGCAATGTTAATAAGAATTATGATGTAGCAACATTATTATTACATTCTAATTATGCTGGTTATGTCAGAGCAGATCAAAGGGGGTGACCTTAGATTTGCATATGCTATCAGTAAAAAAAAAAAAAGCCCAACTCCAGGCGTGAGAATACACAGAGATCAACATTAAAAGCAAGATTACAGGTTAAGAAAATAATTCAATAAACTGTATTAACTGCTTAATTAACCCTAAGCAGCCCTAATTACCTCCTTCCTTCCTCTTCTCTGCTATTATTCTGCTGGGTTTTTTTTTTGTTGTTGTTGTACCGTTTGTTTTAACTTTTTTTTTTTTCGTTATATTAATTATTTTTTGTGCCTCCTGATTTTTACTTTTTAAAAATGATTACAGAAAGCCTTTACTTTATTTTGGAATACTTTGCAATTTAAGTCATTATAAATGAGACAAAATACAGAATAAAATGTGCAGTTTTAATGTACAGTAACATGGAGATCAGCTAGGATCACTAGGGAGGAAAGATTAGAGGAACTGAATTTATTCTCTCTTGAGAAGAGGAGATTAATGGGGGATATGATCTCCATGTATAATACATAAGGGGGGATATGATCTCCATGTATAATACATAAGGGGGGATATGATCTCCATGTATAATACATAAGGGGGGGATATGATCTCCACGTATAATACATAAGGGGGGATATGATCTCCATGTATAATACATAAGGGGGGGATATGATCTCCATGTATAATACATAAGGGGGGATATGATCTCCATGTATAATACATAAGGGGGATATGATCTCTACGTATAATACATAAGGGGGGATATGATCTCCATGTATAATACATAAGGGGGGATATGATCTCTACGTATAATACATAAGGGGGGATATATGATCTCCATGTATAATACATAAGGGGGATATGATCTCCATGTATAATACATAAGGGGGATATGATCTCCATGTATAATACATAAGGGGGGATATGATCTCCATGTATAATACATAAGGGGGGGATATGATCTCCACGTATAATACATAAGAAAGGGGATATGATCTCCACGTATAATACATAAGGGGGGGTATAATATGATGATCTCCACGTATAATACATAAGGGGGGATATGATCTCCATGTCTATATATACATAAGGGGGGATATGAAACTCTCCATGTCTATAATACATAAGAAAGGGGGATATGATCTCCATGTATAATACATAAGGGGGATATGATCTCCATGTATAATACATAAGGGGGGATATGATCTCCATGTATAATACATAAGGGGGATATGATCTCCATGTATAATACATAAGGGGGGGATATGATCAACCCATGTGTATAATACATAAGGGAGGATATGATCTCCATGTATAATACATAAGGGGGGGATATGATCTTCCATGTATAACTACATAAGCGAGGGGGATATGATCTCCATGTATCAATACATAAGGGGGGATATGATCTCTATGTTTAATTACCTCCATGTATAATACATAAAGGGGGGTATGATCTCTATGTATAATACATAAGGGGGG